CATATAATAACCTAGAACACTGTCTAACACTTGATGGCTGCTCTGTCAGTTCCTCGTCATCAGTTAGGAACCTAGGTGTGCTATTTGATAGCAATCTTTCCTTAGAAAGCCATGTTTCTAGCATTTGTAAAACTGCATTTTTCCATCTCAAAAATATATCTAAATTACGACCTATTCTCTCAATGTCAAATGCAGAAATGTTAATCTACGCGTTTATGACCTCAAGGTTAGATTATTGTAATGCTTTATTGGGTGGTTGTTCTGCACGCTTAATAAACAAACTCCAGCTGGTCCAAAATGCAGCAGCTAGAGTTCTTACTAGAACCAGGAAGTATGACCATATTAGCCCGGTTCTGTCAACACTGCACTGGCTCCCTATTAAACATCCTATAGATTTTAAAATCTTGCTAATTACTTATAAAGCCCTGAATGGTTTAGCACCTCAGTATTTGAACAAGCTCTTGTTACATTATAGTCCTCCACGTCTGCTGCGTTCTCAAAACTCTAGCCATGTGATAATACCTAGAATATCAAAATCAACTGCGGGCGGCAGATCCTTCTCCTATTTAGCTCCCAAACTCTGGAATAACCTACCTAACATTGTTCAGGAGGCAGACACACTCTTGCAGTTTAAATCTAGATTAAAAACCCATCTCTTTAACCTGGCTTACACATAACACACTAACACATTTCTAATATTCAAATCCGTTAAAGGATTTTTAGGCTGCATTAATTAGGACAACCGGAACCGGGAACACTTCCCATAACACCCGATGTACACTATTTGAAGAGAACTGAGCTGGATGATGACATCACTGAATCAGCAATGAACTGACTGTTTTCTATTGTGCTCTTGCATTATCAGCACACGTTTTTCCTGTTTAACACTGTAAAGCTGCTTTGACACGTGTGTGTGATACTCACGGTACAGCTCAGTGAAACACACTCACATGCTCACACTCACTCTCACTCTCACACTCACTCACTCTCACTCTCACTCACACACACACACACACACTCACTCACTCACTCACTCACTCTCACTCTCACACACACACACTCACACTCACACGCTCACACTCACTCACTCACTCACTCTCTCACTCACACTCACTCACTCTCACAATCACTCACTCACTCACTCACTCACTCACTTCACACTCACTCATTCTCACACTCACTCACTCACTCACTCATTCTCACACTCTCTCACTCACTCACTCACTCTCACACTCACTCACTCTCACACTCACTCCCTCACTCACTCACTCACTTCACTCTCACACTCACTTCACACTCACTCATTCTCACACTCTCACACTCTCTCACTCACACGCTCACACTCACTCACTCACTCACTCTCTCACTCACTCACTCTCACAATCACTCACTCACTCACTCACTCACTTCACTCTCACACTCACTTCACACTCACTCATTCTCACACTCTCACACTCTCTCACTCACACGCTCACACTCACTCACTCACTCACTCTCTCACTCACTCACTCTCACAATCACTCACTCACTCACTCACTCACTTCACTCTCACACTCACTTCACACTCACTCATTCTCACACTCTCACACTCTCTCACTCACACGCTCACACTCACTCACTCACTCACTCTCTCACTCACTCACTCTCACAATCACTCACTCACTCACTCACTCACTTCACTCTCACACTCACTTCACACTCACTCATTCTCACACTCTCACACTCTCTCACTCACACGCTCACACTCACTCACTCACTCACTCTCTCACTCACTCACTCTCACAATCACTCACTCACTCACTCACTCACTTCACTCTCACACTCACTTCACACTCACTCATTCTCACACTCTCACACTCTCTCACTCACACTCACACGCTCACTCTCACTCACTCACTCTCACACTCACTCACTCACTCACTCATTCTCACACTCTCACACTCTCTCACTCACACGCTCACACTCACTCACTCACTCTCTCACTCACTCACTCTCTCACTCACTCATTCTCTCACTCACTCACTCACTCTCTCACTCACTCACTCACTCACTCTCTCACACTCTCACACTCACTCACTCACTCATTCTCACACTCTCTCACTCACACTCACACGCTCACACTCACTCACTCACTCTCTCACTCACTCATTCTCTCACTCACTCACTCTCACACTCACTCACTCACTCACTCTCTCACTCACTCTCTCACTCATTCTCTCACTCACTCACTCACTCACTCTCTCACTCACTCATTCTCTCACTCACTCACTCACTCTCACACTCACTCACTCACTCACATCCACACTCACTCACTCCCTCACGCACGCGCACACTCACACTCACACTCACGGTATGGCTGCAGTGACTCCTGCGCTCAGATTGGCTGAACTGTTGCTCTCCAGCAGCATCAGGGCCTGTTTGAGCTCCATCTTGTTGTAGAAGGAGATGAGCTGTGGCTCCTGCGATCGCTCTCCACCGATCAGACAGCGCTTGATGTAGCGCTTATTAAAGCGATTCAGCCTGCGGACGAACAGAACGTTACAACAAAGATTTACAACAAGACTGGCATCGTTTACTCGCCTCACGTCATTCAAACCCATTTGAGTTTTTACTGAAACACTGATTCCAGAATATATGTCTTCTTTAGCTGAAAACCAAAGATGGAAATGAAGGGAAACTGGGAGGCTTGCCTGACGTTTGGGAACACAAATGTGATTATACAATGATTATACTAAATTATTTTGATTAAAGTAACATTTGAGATCGGTGCTCTGTTTATCCAGTCACATGATCTGTTGAAGCAAAGTCACGAGTTTTTTAATGCGTGTCAAGGAATTTATTCAGTTAATGTGCTTCCATTAGTTTATGCGCTTGTCTTCTTATTGGATAAGAAATGATCAATTCAGCAAATTGAGAGCATGAGTTATTATAAATTTGCATAGCAATAGGTGGATGGAAGATGACTATTGACAGTCAAACCGCGTCATTGGAGAAACACTAATTAAACATCAGTTTCACTCAATAATTTTGATTCTCCAAAACTATTTCAGCCAAACCAATTTTTTTGCTGTTTATGCTGAATTTTTTATTCGCTGAAACTCATCACTACGTTTTCTGAGGTAAATGTGACGTTACGTGACATTATTGATCTTAAGCGGTTTTATTGATGTCTTTCTGCACTTGAATCACTGATCGATGGTTTCCATGATTCATGATTGATTGCAATGAGTTGTTCTGATTCTTCTGATGTTCATTCATGTTTATTTGCTGCTGTAACTAGTAGTAAAGAGGAAGAGATGATCGCTTCACATGACGCTAGAGCAATCTTTCATGAACAGTGTTGCGGAAGGTTACTTTTAAAAGTATTGCATTATAATTTTGCACTAGTCTATGAAAGAGTAACTAATTGCATTACTTTTTATGGAAAGTAATGCATTACGATACTTTTGCTTTTATTTTTGTCAGCTGGGCTGGGCTTGCTTATTTTTGTAATAACAAAAAAAACAACAAAAGTTATATTTTTGGCAGCTGTAAAGTCTCGTTCACACCAGAAGTGAAATGAATGAGCCTCATGCTGAAGGAAACGCCTGTCTCTGCACTCACTCCTGATTTCTCTCAACATGCGGACAGGAAAGCTGGCGTTACTTTTTTGAAAAAGTAACTCAGATATTTTCTTGTAAATGTAAAAGTAATGTGTTGCTTTACTAGTTACATGAAAAAAGTTATCTGATTCAGTAACTCTCGTTACTTGTAATGCATCACCCCCAACACTGCCCAACAGCGCTATATCAGCAATATTGCCTAGTGCTGGTTTTACAGAGCGTTTGGTCATGTATGTGAACATTCAGCTGAACGATGAAACGCACTTGTGTCTCCAGTGATGGTGTCCGTAGTGTCCACACACGCCCTCGATTCCAGCCAGCAGATGCTCCAGAAACTACAGACACAAAACAGCAGCGTTTCAGCATTAGCCGTCAAACACAGACGCCAACACCACCGTGTGTGTGTGAGAGTGAGTGTGTGTGTGTGTGTGTGTGTGAGAGAGTGAGTGAGTGAGTGAGTGAGTGTGTGTGTGTGTGTGTGTGTGTGTGTGAGTGTGTGTGAGAGTGTGTTTGTGTGTGTGAGAGTGAATGTGTGAGAGAGTGAGTGTGTGTGTGTGCGTGTGAGAGAGTGAGTGTGAGTGTGTGTGAGCATGTGAGAGAGTGTGTCTGTGTGTGTGTGTGTGTGTGAGAGAGTGAGTGAGTGTGCGTGTGTGTGTGTGTGAGAGAGTGAGTGTGTGCGTGTGTGTGTGTGTGAGAGAGAGTGAGTGAGTGAGTGAGTGAGTGTGTGTGTGTGTGTGAGAGAGTGAGTGAGTGTGTGTGTGTGTGTGTGTGTGTGTGAGAGAGAGTGAGTGAGTGAGTGAGTGAGTGTGTGTGTGTGTGTGTGTGTGTGTGTGAGTGAGAGAGTGAGTGTGAGTGAGAGAGTGAGTGAGTGAGTGAGTGTGTGTGTGAGAGAGTGAGTATGTGCGTGTGTGTGAGAGAGTGTGTGAGAGAGTGAGTGAGTGAGTGTGTGTGTGAGTGAGTGTGTGTGAGAGAGTGAGTGAGTGTGTGAGTGTGTGAG